AATTTATATTTGAACATTTCTTCAACTATTAGATATTTCAGGTTCATATTTTAAATGTTCTTAGTAATAAGTAATATCTAATAAACGTTTTGGGTTAACTACGTGTCTACGTATCAGCGTCGCATTCGCCGACTGTCAATAGACAACAGGATACCCGCATTCTGCAATTAAAATTTGAAACGATCACAAAATAAAATTATTATTGATTAATTTATTAATAATAAGTATAATAATAATATTACCTAGTGTAAAAGAAAATACCTACAATACTAATTTTAGCATTGCAATAACATCTACATGATTACTGATTAGTGTATATATAAATGTTATTAAAGCGGCAGGGTGTACATTTGCACCAACTTTTTTTTAAAACGCCTTCTTTGTTCTGCCAACAATAAATACAAGCGCCGATATACCCAAGTGTTTTATATTATATATTTTTTATATTTTTTCAGTACCTATTAAAAAAAAAATGTATTGTACTCATGTTTAATTTCTAAGAATGTGGTTTTGTGGTCCCACAAAATTATATCACAAACATTGTGAAGAAGGGTACCCATAAAATAAATTTCTGGTTTTATAAAGCTAGCTATATTATATACTTTTAGTATGCAGGGAGAAAAAATTTGTAGGTTAGGTTCGGTTAGGTATTTTATTATAAAAGTGTTTTGTACTGTACATCGGTATCCACGATATAAAATAAATAGGTACATTAAAATGTAAAAGTACCTACATATAGTTAATCAAAAATAGTAACCTTATTGTGATATTTCCATAGGTACTAATATATAAGTGACATATTAAATAAATTAAACAAATATTTTACAGTATTTGTCACCACTTGACCTCCCCTGTAAAAAAAAAAATTTATTGTGGCCTGGAAACAATTTGAATGGCCTACAAACGTTTTGACACCAACAAAAAAAAAGTTGAAATGATGCCCATGATACTATATAGTATCTATATCCGGGATACCTACCTATTAAGTACATACATAATAGGTATTACATTAAGTGGTTAATGTAATTTACATAATTAAATAGGAGATGGGAGGGGAGTTAACGGGGGATTAGCCCCACAAAAGTCCGTCAAGCACCTTCCTTTTTTAGTTGTGTGGCATCGAAGCCCCCCCCCCCAACTCACATTGATGTTATTATGTTAATAATATGAGCCCCCCTGAAATTTTAATGGATTTCCACCTATCAGTAGGTAGAATGTTAGAAATAATTGTGATTTGTGTTTAGTTTGTAGTAGGTTACCTACATAAATATAATTCTAAATATTTTACATGTACTACATATTTACTTTACAAATGATGCTTTAAAAATAAAATGTATAAGAAGTACTATTTAATTACTATTATAGATACATCAGTAGATACTCAGTACCTGTCATATATTGATGGTTGATAGTTTTAGTTTTAATATCAATAGTGAATAGTTACACAACTTCCCTACCCGTGTGTTTGATTAATAGAATTTAACATGCATTATATCAGACAATATAATATTATAATAAAAATCAATCTTTTTTATAATTGCTTCTAACAATGTATCATAGAAATTAATATTATGTACTCTTTCTTTAGGTATGTAGTAATATTTGGTCACTGTTTTAATTAATTGAGTTTACGGGTGCTATTAAAAATGGGTACCATATTATTAAGTATAAACACATAAATTGTAAAGTATTTTATGGGACCTATGTATTATTCAGCCAACCTGGTCAGATGCTCAAATTAACATTTTACTGCTTTATAGCAATAATAATGTATTATAATATTGATAATAATGTACAAACATGGGATCATAATGTTTACAATATAATTCAATATAATAAAAACCATTGGACATTCAGTTGATATTGTTAACGCTTATTAGTTATTAGGTACTAGATAGAATTTTTGTATGTGTATATTTTAAATTTTAATAAATTCCACAGAATTAAATATTATTACTGTAAAAAATTAATTGTTGTTATTTAATATATTATTGTACTATAGTAGGTTTATACTATTGTTTTATTCTTTGTTGAAAATATGAAAAACCAATAGTTAGGTACATAGAAATTATAAATACATATAATTATAAAACCGTAGACAAAATTGTGTGTATTATCGATAGTAAAACAAAGTTTTACTGCATTCAGTGAATTCCAATGCACACTGCACAACTCGGACTCTCATGGACATATAACACTTAGTAAATAGTAACTTATTTAAAATATATTCATATATGTACCTGGTATAATAAATGTGTTATACTATAAAATATATAGTAAATATAATTAATTATATAGGTAGTATAATACTTAATATATTATATAAATATTTTTTTATTATTTATTTACATTCTACCTATTTAGTACCAACTGGCACCTAGCCACTTAGGTTCTATAGATATTTGCTATTTACTCAAAATCTCTATTTAATATAATATATTATATATACTGTATATTATTGTATACCTACTTATTATTGCTATATTTTAGATGCAAGCACAGCTTCTAAACATAATCTATTGAAATAAATAAAAATTAGAAGTCTCTTGTCTTGTTCAAAAAGTATACAATTTATTTTATATATTTTTTGTGATTTAGTACATGAAAGTCAATCGTTTTGTCTTTTGTCTGTTTTAGTTATATATTTTTAAACCAATATAATACACTCATGGTGTGTCTATGAAACCTATCCTAACTAACTTCCATAAACTCTTAAACATAATATTATAGGAATTTTATATTTACATTTACACTATAGTAGGTACATTTAGAATGACGCTTGTGATAACTATAATATTTTATTATAATATGTTATAACTTTTATGTGAAAAGTTGAAACATATATTCTAATAATTATCCACTGTTTTAGTTACCTAGTGTATTTCTATCAGTCTATCAATACTATGTACTTTTGTCTCTTGGTTCACCTATATGTAGCTATATTGAATTACATTTATTAACCAACTTTCCTATTAATTCATACATGTACATTACTTTTATACATTTTGCCAATCTTCTTTTACTTTTATTATTATCCTATCCTTTATCAGTTTTTTAGTATGTAGGTACAGTTTTTAGTTTAAATTAAATGATTTTGAATGTTATAATTATTTATATGATTATGGTTACTTTATGTACCTATCCAGTGGCGTAGCCAGGGGGGGGTTTTGGGTGTTTGACCCCCCCCCCATTGACATTTTCCCTCCTAATAAATATATATTGATTATAGGGTTTGGGACTGCTTGCAAGTTATAAATTTGTCTTATGAAATGGCGAAATTAAATACAAAGTTTGAATTTGCATATTTGTGAACTTTTTAACTTAGATGTACATACAATTGTCGGGAAAAATTATATTTGGATAGGTAACATTGAAAAATATCTTAAAAAATATTATGTTTGGTTAGGTACAATAGGCGATAATTATGAGATTGAATAAGCTTAAAACGATTAAGTAAATGTTTGGGAGGGGTGGAGGGCTGTTAAAGTTGTTGGTGGAGTTTGGCTACAGTTGGCCCTATGTTCGCATATGTAAGATTTCATAAGTCTCTTTGTGACAAAACTGTGTTTAAACTATAATTGACATCTAGATTGTAGATTGTACGAATGAATGAACATTAATAAGTGTTCGTTTATCACGGTGTTCGCATATCACGTCATTGGTTATTACTTATTTATTAACCTAGAAATGTATGCCAGTATTTTTAAAAATTAAGTTGTTATTTATTTATTTATTTATCAGGTTTATATACCTACTTATTTTTAGTTTTTTATTACCAAAATTGCAATATGTTTTATGATTTTTCAAAAATAATATAAAAATGTTGCTACATACCTAGTACATATATTTAAGCATATTTTGAGCATTTTTAGTGAAACAAGTCAAGTTCTGAACCCTTCATTTATTTATATACTAAAACTGTAAAAACTTGGTTTTAATCTATACTTAAAACACCCCCCATTTCATAATCCTGGCTACGCCACTGTACGTATCTATTACTATTATCTACTTTACATAGGCGGGATGCCGGTTATGCCATGGCCCATGGGATTCCTGTAGAGTTATCATAACCATAAACCATATAGTTTTTAGTTGTAAATGTTTTGATCATAAATTAGAATCATGAACTAAATAGTAATAATAGTTCATAAATAGTACTATAATAGTTCATAGTATCTTGGTTCAAGAATTTAAATATTTTGATTATTTTTTTATATTATTTTCTTAATTCTTATAATAAAATATTGGGAGTTGAGACAATATCAAATATTAATTAGATTTCATAATTATATTTTTATGATAATATAGTTGAAATCAAAATCCACCATTTTCGGGAGAATTGCCGGTGTCACCAGAACATTCAGGTCCCTGCAGTACCTATTGGCTATTGCTTATTTTCATACTACCTACAACTATCAGTAGTAGGTATATATTTTTATGTTCTGAGCACCTTTTTACAGGGAAATTTCTTAATTACGCAACTGAGCAGTAATAATTACAATCAATTATAAAGTATATTTTACAATAATAATTGTAAAAACCAAGATTAAAGATAACACAGAGCAATAAATATGACGTGGGTGATCGATAGTCGTGGTAAAAATAGAATTTTATTATTCTAACATGTTATAATATTATAATAGTTGTTGACAAAACATTATGTGACGATCAACGAAAATAACAATGTGTGATAATACGTTTCTTTATTGAACACAATTTCAAAATATTTCTCAGTCGCTGCACTAAGAAATATTAATTATTTAAATCTTAAATAGTATAATACAAACATTTATATTTTATTATAAAATCTATATTCATCTGTAACCTAACCTAACAGTTTTGTTTATGGTGTCCGTACAACCGTATAGGTACTCCTTGTGCAATTTAATTATTAAAATATAAAACATTATTTTACTCATTAAAAGAAATGGAAAGAATACCTGTTGTTCGTATAGTATCAAATGTACGTCAAGGTAAAATGCATTATAAGGATAGTTTTAATGAAATTTATTGGGTTCAAAAAACCAATGAACATTATACAAAACGTACGTTGTCGTTATCACCGAAGACAATCTCAAAGGTAAGAATATTAAACTCATTAATTAATATAGCCATATGTAGGTATTACTAAACATCTAAATTAATCTATTCTGTGATTGTAATATCTATATTTAAACAATGTGCCTTTAATATTTTAATTTTAGATGCCCAGCTAATGGAAAAATATTTCAGGAAGAAAATGAAATATTAACATTACTCTTGCATACTCCTCATGACCATGGTAAAAAACAACTGTTATTAATTGAAGAATTCAGAAAAACACTGATGAATCGATCGAAGAATGAACAAACCAGTCATAGGGTCATATTTAACGAGGTTTTAGGTAAACAACAATTTAGAAATTTAACAGTGTCTTTTAAAAGCTATAAAAGACAAATGGCTAGAGCAAAAAAAAATAATTTCCCATCAGAACCAAGAAACATGGAAGAATTTCATCGACAACTTTCTGGAACATACAATGTTAAAACATTAATTGATGGAAACCCGTTTTACGTTGGTCGTACAAGTGATGAAATATCAATTGTATTTGTTACTCCAAAAATTAAAGCGTATGTATACCTTTTATGTATATAATAATAATAATAATAATAATAATAATAATAAATTTAAATTTAATTTCACAAATGTACATAATATAAATATAACATTAAGAATTTTGAAATGATGAAGTCTCCAAAAATCAAAGCTTATAGAGGAGACACAGAGTTCTATACTTAAATACATACCATGTAAATTTAACTAAACTTGTAGGAATATATAGTTTATGAGTAAAAACTAATAAAAAGAATAAATATAAGAATGTATATAATATATAAACATATTATACACATAATACAACCAAAGTAAATAAACTATAATATACAAAATGTACAATAGAAACTTAACTTTATTACTAATATATTTTTTGTAACTTTTAAAATTATTAAATTTGCTGATGTTAATACCAAAATGATTTTCAAATTTTAATATTCTATTCTTTATTTTATTTCTATTCTTTACAACACATTCTTAATCTAAAAACATTATTTTCATCTTGTCGGGTATGATAATTAGGTATGTGTAAAACCAAATTCAAATAGAAAAATTTCAAGTACCTTATTACCTTCATCCAACTTATTATGAATACAACTCACAAGAGTTTGTACAGCTTTAGAAGTGCCTTTATAATTACTAAAACCAAATGGATTTTTGGAAAAAAACATGATTTCTCTTAAAATTTGGTCAATCTAGTTTTAATACATTTTTCCAATATTTTTGACAGTGTGAAAGTTAATGAAATAGGGTGATGGTTTGAACAAACATTTTTATCCCCACTTTTAAATATCGGATCAATAAGAGTTTGTTTAAAATTGTTTAGAAGTTCCCGTCTCAAGTACTAAATGAAAATATGTTACAAAGGAATTAGTATGTAATTTGATATTTGTTTTAAGATAAAGTTAGATGATTCATTTCTGTAGAATGAGGTATTCTCTTTAATATTTATAATACATTTTTTAATTTATCCTATTGTTATGGGCTCAAAGAGCAAAGAATTTGGGTTATTTTCAGTACTTAGGTATTTCAGATGATCTGTTTTGTTGGTTTTTATGTTATTAGCAATGTTTTAACCCACAGTTGCAAAAAAAGTATCAAATTCATTATCCATGTGGCATGTCTTGATTATTAACTACTAAATTACTGTAGGTATATTAATATGTTTATTATTTTCATTTTTATCAATATATTGACATTGTACTATAATGGTCGGTTATATTAGGTATACATTTTTCTGTTTTACTACTTTATAAAATGCATTATATATTGTTATTTGTTGATATTTACAACGTTTTTGAAATTAAACTCCTTATAATGTCACTGTATAAAAAAAAAATAACAAACATTTTACAAACTAATACAAACATAATTAATTGTTAAATGTATAATATTTTATTTTTTGAAATAAGTATTTTTGCACAAAATGTGATAATAAAATATTATATATTATACTGAAAATAATATATAAATAATAAAAATAATATTGAATTATATTTTTTTTTATTTGAAATAATGTATGCTTTTATAATTTTTATATTGCTGTACAAATAAACTAATTGTATATAAATATTAAAGAAATAAACTTATCAAATATTTTTAGGCTTTTAAGATCAGCTACTGATATTATCATGGATGGTACATTCAAAGCAGCGCCAAAATTGAATGGAGAATGTATACAACTTTTTGTAATTATGGGGATATCAATGGATTGTGTAAGTTTTTTATACCCATCGATTATTAATTAGATGTACTTTATGCATATTCACTTTAGTTGTGTAATAAACACAAATAAGTTATATAATAGCCTTAATTTGTTAAATATAATATTTTGAGTAACTATGAATAATATAAACCTTACAATTCATTATTATACATTTAGCATACATTTTCAATTTTAACATTTCTTTTACAGGGATTTCCTATTGTATATGCATTAATGAGTCGAAAAAACAAAGAAGCATATATTAATTTATTCAAATTTATAAAAAATGAAGTATGTCCTTCTTGGTATCCCAAAAGCATAACTGTTGATTTTGAGCAAGCTTCTATTGATGCTATTAAAAGAGTATTTCCCCTAACCAATATTCATGGGTGTTGGTTTCACCATGCTCAGTGTGTGTTTAGGAATATTCAAAAAAAAGGTAAATGAAAAATAAAGTAATAAATCTATAAATATTATTACTAATGAGTAATTAATAATTTATGTCTAGGTTTGGCTGAACTATTTCAAGAAAATCTTGAAGTAAGAGATTTAGTTCATATGCTTATGGCTTTGCCATTACTTCCCAGTCATAAAATACATGAGGGTTATGATATAATTAAGCAATTTTATAATGAAGACCTGAAAGTAAATCTTAACGTGTTCCAAAGGCAACAGATGAAAACAATGTTTAGATACTATAAAAACACTTGGATCACTGGTACAAACTAATTTAATAAATTATATATTATAATCTACTAACATAACATGACATTTTCGAATAGGTAACTTTAATACAATTTTATCTGTAAATGGGCGTGTAAGACGTACCAGCAACCTATTAGAAGCCAGTCATCGACATTTAATGACACATATTAATGTATCAAATCCATCTCCTTGGATATTTTTAGGTTAGTATTAAGTTTTTATATTATTTAAAAAAAAATTGTCTATTAAGTGAATATTTTCATTTATTATTAAATTTTTAAATAACTTTATATTATAGGTACACTGTAATATACACTACATATATTTATATGTCTCTTTATTATTAGATTTCTTGCAGATACCAATGTTAATCTTGTTAAAAATATACACATGTTATACATATCTACATTTTTTTTATCTACTGACAAATTAAATTGAATATGATATCATCTGAAATGTTTCATACAGTATTATGTATTTATCATGGATCGTTTTACTCCCAATTAATCAATTGTATTATGTATATTATTTAACCTTTTTAATTATTTACTCTAGTTCATGAGGTTACATGATTTTTTTAGAATGCATACCGTATGGTGTATCCGTATATATAATTTTATCTATATAAATATCTATCCAATAGTCTAAATAATAATCTAACCTATAATCTAATAATCTAACTTATTTAATCATAAATATTATGTGAGTATTTATTTTCATCGTTATTGAATGATTTTGATTATAGATAGATTAATTACATATTGTAGAGGAACAATACATGATTATTTACTTACTGAAAATGGAGAAGAAATACACGACCCACAGGCAAAAAAATGGAAAACACAAGATAAAAAAATAAGAACAGCAACAAAGAAATTAAAGGAAATGAGATTTTCTATATTAGACTTTTTAAAATACACGAAACATGCAACACCATCTTTTGGAGTACAACGATTCGGTGAGAACTAAGTTTTTATTATATCTATTTAAAAAATTATCAAAGATGTATAATGTTAATGTATATAATATTGTTCTAGACACTCCGTTCTATTCACATCATTCGGATTCAACGTCCAGCTCATCAACACAACCTTTTGTTAGTTCACCAATTGAATCACCCCCCTCAACTACAACTTCCAGGTCTTCATCTCCGCCGCTATTGAACTCTCCATTTGAATCCAACCATTCTGATTCAACATACAGATCTTCGTCTCTGCCACTACAGCCATTCAACTCACTATTCAGGTCACCGCTGTCATCTCCGCCACTACAGTCATTCAACTCTCTATTTGATTCAAATCACTCAGATTCACCGTCCAGGTCACCGCAGTCATCTCCGCCACTATTGAATTCTCCATTTGAATCCAACCATTCTGATTCAACATCCAGATCTTCGTCTCTGCCACTACAGCCATTCAACTCTTTATTCAGGTCACCGCTGTCATCTCCGCCACTACAGTCATTCAACTCTCTATTTGATTCAAATCACTCAGATTCACCGTTCAGGTCACC